GAGGAGGAAAAAGCGGGGGGGGGGGGGGGGGGGGCAGAGGAGAAAGAGGGATAGTGGCAAGAGAAACTGACGGGAGCGAGAGAGGGAGGGGGGAGGTGGTCAATTTAAAGGGAAAACGGGGACATCAAAGGTGCACAAATGGAAGAAAAGGCCATTTCACATTAGGGAGAGGAAAGTCATCGGTGCATTTCCTCAGTTAGCGGTTCGCAGTGCATTCCAGAGACCCCCTGCAAGAAATGCCATCATTATGCTTCTGAACATACGCCGATCCCACTTCAGTTTACCGTCAGCTGGACCACCATCCCACACGGTGGTCTGTGTAGATGGCGTATCACATCGGACCCCCAACCCAGACCAAACCAATTCAAGTTTTTTAGAGCCCTTGTCACTCGGGGAACCTTGGAATCTTCTTAATTCCTCCACCCCCACCCATTTAGGGGTAGAGTGGTGGCTCCGAGGCCGGGGCTCTGTGCCCACAATCGGAAGGTCACTGGTTTGAATCCCACAAATGCCAGGTGTGATCCTACTCCATTGGGCCCTTAAGCAAGACCCTTAACCTACAACTGTGTCATCAATCTACATCCAGCCCTGTAAGGAGGTCCTCCGACTTACAAGTTTGGGGTTAGTGGCAGGATTTGGCACTGCAGCCACTGGAGGAAAAACCTCATACTGCATTTGAACTAGTGTGGTGCTGTGCTTCACCCACTGCACCCTGGTTCTCATCCCTGAGGTGGTTTGTCCTGTGGTGGGTGCATGCCCTGTGCCCCTCTCCTTTACAGCACTGCTGGGACAGTTATTGGGCTGGTGTGGCCTCTCTGCTTGCACACCGGCCACAGGGCGGACGGGAAGAACGTGGCTCACCACGTCCACACGATGTCCTCACACAGCGGTCAGCTAAGAGGCCCTGCCCCTCTCATGGCTGTCTATCTGAAGACCCAGAGAGCACCGTTAGAGGGTAAATTACCCAGAACAAACCAAACATATCTGGGTGTCAGATAACCCAAGCTAAAGCTGCACGGCACTTGAGTAATCATCCGAGCCTGGTGCTATCTTTCGTGCCTTGCATCTATCTTGCACTGTAGTTTTGTGCATGCATGCATGCATGCACTGCATTACATTTTCTGGCATTGCCCGATCCATTCATCCTGCATTCTCCTAGTTTATTCTAGGTGTCACTGCGCTGTTCAGACAGCAGACGGTGCAGTGACTTGGCCTGTCCCACTACCAGCAACAAACGAGCGTAACCTACTGCAGTAACACTATGGGATGATGATGGTTACAATGGTTACAAAAGACAAAAGAAACAAGACAATGGAAAAAACAAAAACCATTTGCAAATATTGCAAGACGGCACTGACTTACAATACTGAGAACACCACAAATATGTTTCACAAATATCCATCCATCCGTTTTATGCAACCGCTTGTCCTATTCAGGGTCACAGAGGGTTAGTGGGCGTGAGACCGACGACACAGGATGGCCCAGCGTCATAGCGACCCCCCCTCTACCCCCCACTAAGGCCGAGGAGGGACGATGCTACATGACAGGACCATCGAGGGCCTCCTGCTTCATGCCCGAAAATCCGCGCGAGCAGGTCCCTGCATCAGGGAAGCACATGACTGGCAACATTGTGAGTTTAGCCGAATTCCCCAGTTTGACAAACATAAGTATGACATCGGCGTTGAGGCGGAAAGGCGGGCCGCATCATAGCGAGACACGCAGCGGCGGCAGGCGGCTCGGTAAACAGCGAGGGAGGCCTGCCTCTTACGTGATGCGCCTTCATAAACACCTTTGGGCGTGGAGATGAAAATAATTCACGTCACTCCACAAGAGGATGACAGCTAAGAAGTCGATATTAATAAGACGTACGATGGGGGGGGGAACTGAGCCAACAGAGACAATTGTGCTGGACTGGAGTGGAAAATGTGATTAATTCGATGGCTTTCTGAGTAATGAGCATGTGGTACAAACAGTAGGTCACCCAGAGGAACAGGAACCCTTATTTCACCCGGTAGCCAGAGTTACCACTTCACAGAGGCCCAGCAAACAATAAACAGATAGAGGAATATTCTCCACACAATACAGCCACAAAGGGTGGCTAGTGTGTGGCTCAGCAGGTTATTGGTTCAAATCCCAGGACCGGGAGGGGTGATTTTACACTCAGACGCTTATTGTGTATGTCCAAAGTGAAATGCAGAGATTTGCTTTTATATCACGATTAAGAAAATCTGTATCTAAATGAATTACTATACATGAGACCCAAATTATGCCATTAGTTAAAGGGATTTTATTAATTTGTTATTTTCAAATAAAATGTTACTTTTAATAGATGAGCCAGAATTTAATTTAAATTTGTGAATGTGAAAATGCATACTCTAAAAATGTTGATTACTCAGCATACTCTGTTTTGACAGCCGTGAGAAAAAAAAATCGACTTTAATAAAAAGCTAAGAGGGACACATTCTGTTCCAGCTACCGCCCGACTCGCTGGCATCTGCTGTCACTCGCGAACAACAATAACTGTAAATGCATAAATGGTTAGGCGCTGAACTGGTCTGTCCGTAATGTCGGCCATTCCACCTCCTGAAGCTTCCGGGGAAATTTCCTCTTCTGTCCCTGTTAAAATTCACTGACTCCAGCAGCTGATAAACAGCAGATCGTTCCACCGTTTGAGAATATCCTACCCCTTACATTTTCTACATCAGGGTTCTTTAAAGGTGCTTTGCTGATAGTTTATTGTGTTTATAACACAAATATTTTGAAGTGCAAAGATTAGCAAGGAGTATAGCCAACAGTCACAATGCCGCAATACTGCTGGGACTGGATATTTCTTTTGGGGGGGGGGGGGTCTCTTATCAAACATTGCAAGGCAAAATGTCTATCAGAGTGTATTCATCGGTTTCCTGCATGTGGGGGGGGGGGGGGGGGGGGGTTGGAATGACAGCCGCTCCACCATTAAGTGCTTGACAGTATCTCTCCTCATCCTATTGGAGGATGGCCCATTGTGTCATGGCAACGTTAGCCTCTCCGCTGTTGCCGTGGTGCCCAGGAGGTTATGAAAATCTCAGTGGCCCACAAATGACAAGGGGACTGTGTTTCTTGAGTCTGGGGGAGGTTGGCCAGAACCCTCTGCTGAAAAGGGTTTGTGCCTGTATCCCCCCCCCCCCCACGGTGGGTCATTAGTGTCGGAACAGGTCACATGACGGTCCCACATGGTGGGGGGCCAGGGCTTGACATGTGGATGCAAAAAAAAACAAAAAACAACCACACAACAACCCAGACTGTCCTCGTTTTATACGAGAAGAAACAACATCAATACCTGAAACCCATTTCAAACGGGCTGGAAAGTCAACAAAAGAACTGAATCCAGGCAGAGGATTCAATCATGAAATTATTTAGAACTTACCCTGTAGGAGCTACAATGAATAAAATATAAACACACGTCCACAGTGTAGCGTCGCACATACTGTAGCATATCGTTTTGCTGATTAAAACGGAAATTCTGGGCAACATTAAGCTCCGGAGGGGGCATCATAAGGCAAGTATGAGCAAAACGACAACAACAGACATTTCGGAGAAGGCAGTCTGAACACTCACTGGTCCCACTATCTCATTCTCATGCAATGTAATTAGGCGGCAGAGTAATGATGTTAGTTTAGAGATGAGACTGAGATGATAGCAGTGGATTGAGTTTGAGTTGGCATGACCATGTCTATAGACTGTCTGCCCACCTCTGCCTGTGTTTGCTCAACTGAACCTACACACAATGGAAATTGAGAAAATCCTGAACAAAGAATTGATGTTATTTCCTCTAGACTGAATGTCCCATTTCGCTACCTGAATGCAAATCTGTTCTTCTGTCATCGTGACACAAACCCAGCCCAACCCACTGGAGTGCTACCCAAGCCAAGCTCACCTGTGGGCCGGTATCCTACGCTCTCCGGCCAGCAGCACCACGTCACACAGCTGCTTGTGCCTCAGGTAGGTCTCCATCTTGTGGAAGGTGTGCTCCGCGTGGCTCAGGGACTGGAAGAGCTCCTCGGGGACGCAGGGCTCGGCCGTCTGGCTGGAAGACAGAGTCTGGCTGCTGTTGGAGCTCCTACAGGGAAGGCGGCCATACAAAGTGTCACACCAGCATCGTCGCCTCGGTTCCACATGACCCTCAGCCAGATACCGTATCGACCAGTCACAGACCACAATGCTTCTAAGACAGTGTTCATACCTCCATAACAACCACCTGTCTTCTCAAAAATCACTCAGCGTTTCAACGTCAGTGATTCAGTTGGAAGTCAGCCGACTGTGAACCGGGACGAGGTAAAATGAACTGGTAGTTTGCCAGTTTTCAGTGAGTCAGTTGTGGCTTTTTACTGAGAAAATAAAGTGACCACTGAGTAGCCATTTGGTCCTTTTAAGAGATCTGATTGGCCATTTGGTCCTTTTAAGAGATCTGATTGGCCATTTATAGAAGGCTTACACAACAATGTGGATGAAGTGCAAGAATACAAAACAAGGGAGCTTTCGTGTCGGACTCTGGATCCAGGTCAGGATCAGTCCCTGTCCTGCCCCCTTCGGGATGTCAGTTCCTCGTTTGGCCAACAGGTGTCACTGGCCATCACGTTCTTAGGTCAGTGTGTTCCCTGGTGCCCCAGGCTATTATGTGGCTTAACAAGCTAAGTGGGTGGTTGTGTTACCCATGTTTCCCTTTTGTCATGGGTTACGACCATGTTTATTAACTTTTATGGTTCTTGTTTTATTCCTGTGTTAGTTATGTATTTCTTTATTTATGTACGGTTCCTTGTTTTGCTCTCCGTTGCACTCAGCTAATCAGGACCCTAAAAACATCATTAAAACCTCCTAAGATCTGAGCAAACTCATGATTGCCACCTGGGGCATCATAAGCATTTTGAATGTAGGGGGACACACAGGCATAAAAGTAATATTTTATGTTAAAAGGGGGGGGGGGGGGACGACGAATAATTATGAAATGTGATTTGATAGCGGCGACGCCCATGATTGCCACTATCCAATATTTTAGCTGTCAACATTAAACAAATAACCTTCAGCTGGTTTATACCACGGTCTAATGACAGGAGAGGTCAGTTCTTATCCAGTGCATCAGTTTACAGTAAACTAGGCGCAAACGGGCTAGCAGGGAGTTCGGGAAATTTTCCACTGGACCGGTCAAATTAGGGCTGGCCAACACAAAATATAATAAAGAATGCTATTCAAGTCATGGTGCTCAAGGTGCGAGTCCCGCTGAATGTCCATCCCTCCTTTATTTGTGAGCCGAGTCAGAATCAGGGAACAAACTACCTGGGAGAACTGGAGACACAGCCTGAATTTGTAATGGAGGGTCTGATTTGAAGAGCCCTGTACCAAACAGCAGATTAGATTAGATTCAACTTCTTTGTCATTACACATGTATGAATACAGGGTAACGAAATACAGTTTAGCATCTAATCAGAAGTGCAGAGAGTGGCAAGTGCAATATGTGCAGTATGTACAATTTGTACAGTTAAGAGAGTATGTACAGAGGTGGGAATAGTTATGTACAAATTATGCCCAAATAAGTTAAGGAACCCCCTCCTCCAATCGACGGCAAAATATTACATTTTGGTGGCTTGACAGCAAATTCCCGCGTTGCTTTTTGTTGCCAGTCCGCCCTTGCAGTAAACATCCAGTGCATTGCCACTCATACAGTGCGTGTCTATATCTGGTTCATGGCTTTTTTTTCCCTCAAAACTTATTTAACATATAGACTGATCATGCAACCAGATTTTATAGCCACACGGTTGGTTGTGCAACGTGCGCCGTTCCAGGGAGCGACATAGTAGTGTCAGACGAGTTTAATCATCCCGTGATCGGCATGGTCTACGGAGCGTCGCCGCCTCGCATGCAAATCGACACCGACACTAGTCGGTTCGCATCTATTCCAGAGCGCCTCGTTATATTTTTAGCCTCCTCCGCCTCCCGCTCCACATTAATCCACACCAGGCGGCGTGATCCGAGAGCCGGGCGGGCTGCGGCTGTGACTGCGCCCGGAGGAGAGTCGCTTTGAAGTGGGAGCTGCGCGTCCCCGCTCCGGTGCCTCCGGAGGGGCCGCGCGTCCCGCACACGCTCATTACCTCCGTGTGGGCGAGGAAACTCAGCCGGCGGCTTTAAAAAGCAACGCTCTTATGTTTATTTATTATTTTCCGCACGCTTGTCTCTTTACATTGTTAAAATGCAAGAACCGACGCAGATGTGGGCTGGAACATAATGCTGGAAAAATAAAACAAAATCCTGAAGCCTGATGAAGAACAAGCGGGTGGCACACACATGCACAGGTTTGTAAGTATATCTTTGTGGGGACTCTCCATTGTTTAATCTCATTCCATTCTCATTCTCTAATCCCATCATGACGACCTTAACCCTACCCAGCCTAACTTTAACCATAAGTAACCAAACAAAAAACAAGACTTTTGGCATTTTGTTTTTTGATTGCATTCACAGATCTTTGTGGAGACCCGAGAAATGGTCCCCACAACGTCGTCAAAATAACAGGTTCACACAATGTAATATAAATATAATCCACAGTCTAGCTCACCATGTCAGTCTTGCTTTCACACATCACCATTAAACTAACTATTCTGTGCAATTCTGCAAAGAAAAACTAATATATACCGACTGTCTACATTACACCTTACATCCTTAAATACACCCCGTTTTAAAAATCACAAAAAAATGCAGTGAATTAAACATTTAACATTTTAAGTGGACGAGTTGGACGATAAGCCAGTCCATCACAGGGCCAGCACACAGAAAGTGGACAATTTAGAGACTCCGTTTGAGGAGTCCACCCACACTGAGCGCAGGACGGACTCAACGCTCCAGGGACTCTGCCAACAGCGATACAGACTGAGCCAGCCGGGTGCAAAAGTTTACATTCTGTGAATATGAAAATCATGTAAGATCGGGGTGGAGGTGTGTGCAATTCTGTTAGCTAACGGAAGACCTGGAAAATTTGTGGGTGAGGTACATTTGTTTCTCACTTGAATGAATGCTGAGACCAAACTGATTTGCAGGTTTGTGTAGCAGGACCATAAACTCACACTTCCTTGCTGTGTTTTTGTTAAACACTTTGGCCAAATTAAAAACACACACAAACATAAATCGCTGCGTTCAGCACATGTTCATGCATGGTGCACATCCTGGGGACAAATCTCAAAACGTGTCAAAGGCAAGAAATCTTTAGATCAGGGCTATTCAAATCACGGTCCTCGAGGTCCGAGCACTGCTGGTTTTCCAGCCTTCCTTTACCTGTCAGTCAGGTGAGAAGCCTCTGACCAATCAGAATCAGTAATTATTAAGCTAACTACCTGGGAGAACTGAAAACAAGGCCTGCATTTGGAATCGAGGTCTAGATTTGAAAAACCCTGCTTTAGATGTTCACCCGATAACGGCATCGAAAGTGGGCGTGGTCTATACAGGACGCTCTATTGTATTCTCTAACCTAATATTCATTCTCAATGCAATTGTTCTACCTTAACTAATCTGTTTTATGACCCCCCCCCCCCTTTAACCAGAGGACACTAAATAATCAAAAACTGAAAGAAGTGAAATATTAATCGAAAGATTCTGTTTTGCATTGGAAACTATTTGCAGTAAAGATATTCAGGAAAACGTGCTTAATGATAACCTTAAATTCCAATGATGCAACATTTGCGTTTGTTGATGTTAACGTTACTGCAGATCACTAGGGAAACGTGAATAACTACTGTACAACTGCTGTTTTTTTAATCGAAGGAAATAACACATACAGCTAAAAAGGGGTTTAGGTTTGTGCAGAGGTTTAAAAGCAGTCTGCCTCTGACGGCAACAACCGCGGCTCCTCCACGCGAATGTCCCCAGAGTGACAGCTGGGAAGGGCCAGCTCTCAGCGCGCTGCCTGTCGTGGGCTATAGCTTGGTGGGTCGACTAAGGAATACAGCGATCCCTTATAAATAATTTGTAATAAATGAAGTGACTAGTTAGTGAAATCAAAGTCCTGTGTTTCAAGCAGAAAGGGCATATTTCGTGGCCATCCACAATGAATCGATTTCAATAAACACGGACATTGAGTCATGGAGCTGACTTTTTCCAAATACAAACGCGAAACCTTCGGTAGAAAACTATCTGTCTACAGCTTCTTTTATCCATAATTGTTTTTGTAAAGAAAGTACTCGTTGTAAAGTAGCTAGTCAGCTACCACCAGACACCAACAATGGTACCATGCAGTGCTCTCGCGCTCACACAAGAAGCACACGTGCCGAATAGTGTGAAGTAAATCTGCTGCTTTACTGCAAAACGCACTAGGCTGCTTGATCAACGGTATCATATATTATTTTAGGTCTCGCAGTATTCCGAACTTGAGCGCGAATATGGAAGGCCATTTTTGGAGTGCGGCTGTGAAAAGCGCGAGCACCAAGTGACAGAGGTTGGTTACGCAGGGTTGCCAATTTTGGTTAGCTGGGTGACGTGGGATTTTCAGTTCGAGACTTCTCCAATTGCACGCACGTTCATTTACATGTATGTAGCAGTTTTATCACCTTGTAGGCTATTCTGTATTGTTTGCAAACTACCCTAACGCTTTTGATGTTGCTATAATTTAAGGTTCATAATGGAATTATGTAGATTTGCCATGTGATTCCTGGCTTGTGTGTCTCACGGCAAATGCATGAGAATTGGCAACCTTGGTCTCGAAGGCATAAGACCAAACAGCGCGGATGTAAACAGCGCCTATTGGAGATTTAGTCATCAGACGTCCTGCATGCAGATGGGCTCCATCGCCCCCAACCCAGACCAGGATAAGCAGCTGGATGGATGGATGGATAGAAGGATTGAAGAGCAGACTAACTGAAGAACTGGGGTGCAAGAAATGGGTACTGCATCAAAGCAGGGAGGCAGTAAGGAGGGGGGCAGCTGTCCCGATGGGGCGGCCAGCACCAGCGCGACTCTGGGGCAGTCGCATTAGTTTTATGTCGCTCTTGCCCTCAACACGACTGGTGGCACAAGTGCAGAAGCTTTGGATTGCAAGCGCATTACCGACGCCGCCGTGAAAAATGGAGTGCCACATTCTGCCTGGTTGGCCCTCAAGACAGGCCACAGGGGACAGACAGTAGGAGGGACAGGGTAAATAATTAATGAGGGGGCGGGTCCTGCACCCCGTTAGGTAGATTTAGCCCCATTGATTTGGCGATTCCTCACTTGATTGCAGTGAGAACTGTCCGAGGAAACAAAAACTGCAAACTCCACTGGCAGCTGTGTGGACCAGCGTTTTCTTTCTAAAGTATCCCAGAATGCATCAGGGCACACTGACTGCAAGAGTCCGAGGTCAGCATGGGGCGGAGTGGAAGCACATCGATCGATCACCTGACCCACTGCCCTCAGCCTGTCTCTTCGTGACCCAGAGTGTCCTTTACACAGAACTCCCTAAGGACCCTATTTCATGGGGAGAATGACAAAAAAAGGCCGGGGACATTAAAAAAAAATTACAGCACAAATAAAATGACTAATGAAAGAGTAGTTACAAATGACGTTCCGTGCGGCTGATTTAAGATTCAGCCGCGAGAGTGGTGTTAAAGGAACAGCTATGCTGACAGCTAACGTGAAATATTATATCAGTCAGCTAATCACTGGCACATCAGTTAACGCTTCGAGCTGCACGTTCAAATGAGCCCAGTCAATTGAAATTGCACTGGGGAAACACTGCCCCCTCTGCTCAAACAGTTGAAGTGCAACCCCGGAGCGGCTGGCCAGAGAAACCGTCTCACCTGCAGCGCGGGAGCGTAGAGCGGCGTGAAAACACTGCGCAATGCTCATCATTATTCATTGGTGCGGCCGGCAGATTATAAGGCTTACAATAACCCTTATTTATGCAAGGCTGCACGTATTGATTTATTGTCGCTCCTGTGCTGGGTTTTGCTAAAATGAAGCATCCGACAGCAACTGCATAAATTCAGATGCTGTCTGATAGCGCTACATTAGCATATACATTAGTTAACGCGTAACAGATTCACAGTGATCTATGGAGCCGCCCATCATCTAAACGCTTATACTCGTCAGGGTCCCGAGAAATTTAGAGTCCTGTTTCTCTTTTTCTCTAAGAGTCCCAAACTGGAGAAAACAGAACACACAGGGGTTGTTCTTGTGGAGGTGGCGAACCGGAGTACGTATATATGTATTCCTTTAAAAGCACGTCCCAAGACCTGATCCCGACTGTTTTCATAATTCTCAACATGCCTTTAAAGATTGTGAATCGGATGAATTGCAAAACTTATTAGGTTCCAAATGTTGTTGAATGGCATCTAAAGGGATAAAGTAATGAGAGCAACGTTATTTCCAGGACACATAGGCCTAACCGGACAATCCTCATCCTTCTGTCCAGCTACAAGGTGTAGCCTTGTAGAATCTAAACGGAAAGTAAGTCAAAGCCTGATTCTCATGTTGGACAGGCGATGACCTCTGTTCACACCTACCCTGTAACAAGATGGATCTGTTGGATAACTGACAGGTCATGCAGTCACATGACAAGGCAGAATCGGTAGATGGTTGGTTAAAATATTAAGGGGTCAGATTATTTTTAATCAAATAATCTTAAATTATTTCCGGGCTGCGAGAACGCAAATCCAAAAAAGGTCAACATTGGTCTAATAGAATAAACTAACAAGATGCAACTGGACACTATTAGAGGTACACAGAGTATGGCATTTATATAAGATAGCCTACAGGTTGTGCCTAGTTAATGTCTCTTTATGCACAAGAAGGAGTCACTTTTAGGACCGAATGGACTATAGGCATATGAGGTAACCAGACCGGTTAAAGCAGAGAGAGTCGTTAGGAAGCTGCGCCATAAGGAGCCGCGATATCACGTTGTGCTGTAAGGCAACAGCGGGCCCAGATCTCACACATCCAAGATGACACGGAGACCGAGCTGTAAGCAAATACTCGCATAATACGGCGTAGCCTAATGACGCGTCATACAGCACAGGAAGCTAGTTTAAGGGCATCCATCAACGCTGGGTTCTGGCTCTCAAAATCATTCGGCATTATTCTCCAGCCCGTGTCTATTTGCCATATCGGCAGGGTTTACTCAGTTTACACGAGTAATGGGTAATTGACGATCGTGAATAATTACTGAACGTAGCCTATTCTTTATGGGTTTTTTTAACTAAACAAAAGAAAAGTTCTAACCCAGGTGGCACCCTCAAAACCATCACCGTGGGTTTTGCCAAACGTTTATTCATGCTTAAATGTTCATATTAATTGTGACATTATTATGTAAAGTTTGGGGGAAAATCTTCTGACTTTTGTGCATAGTTGTATACTTTGACATTTACCACTGGCGGGCCATCTTAATACATGCTGAATTCCTAACTAAACAAATTCAGAAGACTGATCTTGCTTTACTATTTCTAAACCACCCTAGTTGTGCAGTTTACACGTCCGCACCAAGCCCACCCCCTAACATTATGATAAATACCTGTAAGAACTGGACTCAGAGTCCATGTTAATGTTGTCCTCCTCACTTTCCGCGACTGCCTCTGCCGCTCCCTCCGGCTGATACTGCCGGGCCCTCGCACAGCCCTGGTCGACGGGCTCCACACCCGGCACTTCGGGCTGGGGGCAAGCCCAGGGCGGCGGCGGGGAGCTACGGCAGTCCCCCTCGCTGAATGATCGGAGGCAAACGGATGCAGCCGCCGACAAGGACACGGGATGGTCCGACGTGCTCAGAAACTTTCTGTTATCGCCGTTATTGATACAGGAGCCTCCGTCGCCGGTGCCGCAGCTGATGTTACCGCCGCCGCCAGATGTTGCACCGCTGGACGTGCTGTCCGCCGAAGCCCCCGCATTTCGGCCGCTGAAAAAGTCCCCCAGCGCCGGGCTGTGGGGCGGCGGAGACGCGGGGTGGCCGAACCACCTCCACCGGATCCGCAAGATCTGCTTCACGTCAAACTCTTTCCTGGATCCAGACATCATCCCCCGAACCTGCGAGAAAAGCCCTTGGTCGCGGCGGCGCTCAGACTACACTGGCCACCGGCTTCAGGAAGGAGTGAATGAGAGAAAACAGGAGGATAGAGAGAGCGCGCGCGAGAAGGAGAGATGGAGAATGACTGCTTTCCGTAGCCCGGTGCGTACAGCGCACTCCTTCAGCGCGATCTCTTCAGTCTTGAAGTGCGCTTCCCCCTTTTTCACAATCTCAGGTGCGCGCACACAGACACACGCGCGCGCACGCTGGATGTACAGGCGGTAGAGCCCCAGACAGCCGAGAAAACGAGCGCATATGGAGATAGTGCGATGAACAAGCGCCGCCCTGGTCAGACAGCAAAACATGCATTACAGACACGCAACGTCCCTGGAGAGCTAGAGGTGGGAAGCATATTAAAACATCCGACAATGCGATGTCTGCCTTTCGACCACTTGTGTCGCCATTTAAGCCTTCCAAACTCCACGTGGTTGTTGTCAAACAACGATGGGTGTCACATTTGGAAAAAAATATAATTTAACAAGGCAGTACAAATAAATTAAATAAATCAAAATAACACCAGTGTAAAGTTGATTACGTGCAGCACTTCAGGACTGAACAGCTGGGCTCAAAAACGGGCGGTTCTAGGACTTGATTTAGCCCCCAAGCTGGGTATGAAATTCATACGAAAGCACGCGACAAATCGCTAAATGATTTTAGAGTAATTATTTTTCAGGCGGACTGGAACAGAAAATACCTTACCCCCCACACACCAAATAGGCTCCAGAACCGCCTGTATTTTAAAATAATACAGAAGAGATGATTAACAAATTAAATATACCTTGTTCATTTTACAGTGAGCAAATTTCAGCACCGGTAAGATGGTCTGAAGTTTTGTATATTTCCCAAATACTGACTTCTAAGCTGAGGAGCCGCTCTTTCTGCGAGACGTCGGCACGAGACGCACCCCTCCGGTGTGTGACCTTGCTGGTGCATTTAACAACGCAGACTCTGATGGATTATTCCGTTGCCGGGGCTGACGTTCTAGGCTGCCCTGAAATCCTGGCTTTCTCCTTCACAGAGCCTTTTGGATCACAGGAGGCGAGCCTGAATGAGGGCCACCTACGCACTGCAGATGCTGGGTCAGTGTCACTTTTTAGGACGGCTTTCATCGGGCGCTTTCATTAAGCATAACTCTCTGCTTTCAAATGGCAAAGAAAAGGAAAAAAATATTAATAAGAGCTTTACTGCCCAACTTCTGCTGCAGGGTCAGTGTCACAGAACCTGGTCAGTCCCACACGTTCCAGCAGGAGATTCCAGCGTCATCGTCATCACGCCCCAAATCAAAAGTCCACACAGGCAATCGCCTATAATGGCCCCTGCCGGTGGAGTGGGAAGCTCTTTCTATTACGAGTGAGAGGGAGGTCATCGGCGAAAATGATACCTCTGGTGGGAAATCGGTTAGAGCGCCATGCGATTGAGAGTGTGTCCAGGCGTTTAAAAAGCAAGCAGCCCCAGATCCAGACTGTGGGGGGTTGGTCTGCACCTGTGATGATAGTGCTCACTGGCTCCCCTGTATGCGCAATTCTCCGGTCCGTAATCTCACCACATGCTAATCAAACGCAGGTATATGCGGAATTCTCCGGTTCGTAATCTCACCACATGCTAATCAAACGCAGGTGTGTTTTTTTTCCAGACATCTAGTATCGTATAATCCTGGCAGATTTGGGGATGAGTGGGTAGCACCCTGGCTCTGTCCTGACTGCCCCCTGAAATGTGTCCAAATTGTGACCATTTCAGGGATTCTGCCACAGCCCAGTAAATTCAGGGGAGATGGCTGACCAGCCTGCCTGTATCTGTAGGGGTATGCATGCTCTGAGATGGACTGGTGTCTTGTCCAGTGGGTTCCATGTCTTGTTCCCAGTGCTGCCTTGGAGAGACTCCAGATCCCCACAATCTTATAGTCGGTAAGATGAATGAAGATGGATGGACGGTATAAGGGCAGCCTTTCGGAGAGACCCTCAATCAAAAGAATAGGATTTGCGAGGGGAATCGCCTCCCTTCCCCTGCTGCTATGGATATTCCTCATTTCCAGCATTCCCATGTGGAGAATCTTTAGGGCCAGACGTGACTGGGAAAGCAGACGTACCCTTCAGCATGTGGTCATGATTTTATGCAAGTACTGGTGCAGTGAAGACGCCGGCGAACCCCCGGGGGCACGTTAGGGCCGTTAACGTTCGGGAGGCTGCGGGAATGTTACATGAACGGAGCTTGAGGGGAAAGCTGAAGCATTAACTGGTGTCCCCAGTGCAGTCCCTGGCTGTGACTCTGATTGTGTATGATTGTGCCCTATCCATTCGCCCCTATATACACACACCATTTTATGGAAATTCGGGTTCACCAAGCATAACTGTAGGAGCGGAACAGGGCGAGGCACGTGACTGACGCCCCCTCCACGCCACGCCAGCTAAGATCCTGCAACCTGGTGCATGAAAAGATGCGTTTCAGTAGCGCTTTTCAAAAAAAAAAAAAAAAAGAAGGAAGTGCTATTCTTCATGTCAACCCTCCCCCTCCCGGGAGCATGTTACTGAGCCCAAACCGCGTCTCCTTCTCAGGAAAAAAGAAAAAAAGACCTATTGGGTCTCTTAGAGAGGAATTCATTTTACACACTGTGTTAGAGTTGGCCTTCCTGGCTGAATGTAATCGATTTTAGAAGAGGATGGACCCGAATAGTTATTAAAGAGCATTATAAAGTGTGCTGAACATGACTCTCAGAACTGTAAACAAAGAGGGTAGTCAGAGCCGGGCTGTTGAATTAGCATGTTGCCACCTGCTGTTAGGGTCACGTTTGCGCCCCGTGATGCAGCCCATTGGATGTCGTGCCAAAGGCTGACAGTAGCCTTTAGGAAGTGCCTGGAAATGTGTCACCGGCCTGCTCATCACCTGCCACGTATCACCCTCCCGCTCATCACCTGCCACGTATCACCCTCCCGCTCATCACCTGCCACGTATCACCCACCCGCTCATCACCTGCCACGT